GTGAGACAGCAAAGAGGAAGCTGAGTACGATTGACTGCACAAATGTGGACGTAGTATCGTTATTTGAGGACATGGATTTTTGCATGGAACTCACTCGAGACCAACTTGAGCAGTTGTGCTCGGACCTCTTCAGCCGAACGATGGATGTGGTAAATTCGGCATTGAGTGCTGCGATGATGAGGCAGGATGACATCGACGAGATATTGTTGGTGGGTGGATCGACTCGTATTCCGAAGGTGCAGACGATGTTGCAGAAATACTTCAATGGCAGAGAATTGAATAGGACTGTCAACGCAGACGAGGCAGTGGCGTACGGTGCGACATTGCTGGCGGCCAAACTGACTGATGCTCTACCGAAGTCGATGCAGCATTTGAGGCTGTTGGAAGTGGCGCCACTGTCACTGTGTCTGGGGTTTCCAGATGGTACTCTGGGGAAGATAGTAGAGCGCAACACGCGAATTCCGATAAAGCAGACGTGGCCTTACAAAACTCCTAAAGATAATAGCGCTGAGGCGGTGCTTAGGGTTTTTGAGGGCGAATGTAAGAAGGCAAGCGACATTTACATTTTGGGCAACTTTTCTTCTGCGAATTTTTTTTGGTATCTACTTGGTTATGCCATGCTTGACTTGGTTATTGAAATTGACGAAAGTGGCATTTTCTATGTGTCGGCGGTGCAAAGGTCATTATGGAAGAAGGACAGCATCACGCCCATCAAAGGCAAAGTTGGTCTGTCAGAGGAGGAGATAGAACGAATGATAAATGATGCGAAGAAGATGAAGCTGGAGGACGAGAAGGAGAGGAGCAGGATGGCAGCGAAGAATGTGTTAGTGGGCTGCATTTACACAATAAAAGCTAAAATGGAGAGCGAGGAGGTAAAGCAAATGACATCCGAGGAGCATAGACAAGAATTGATTGGGAAGTGCGAGGAGATGATCAGGTGGACGGAGATGGAAAAGAGCTCCACAAAGGAGGACTTTGAACGGAATCAGAGTATGTTGGAGGAGATGTACAAAGGTATTACTATGGTCAAACAAAGAAGTACGTGTAAGGAAATGATGAACAGGGCAGGCAGGGAAACGGACGCCACAATGGAGGAATATGAACAAATTCCAAAACAACTTGATGACATGTACAATAATTCACCATAATCAAAAGGAAGAAGAAACGTTTTTTGTTGCAAAAGTACGAAAAGTAAAGTTGACAGGTGTGGATATTGAATCACTCACCCTTGCATTGTCGAACATAACACAAAGTAACGGAACTTGGAATCATGCTATGTTAAATGTGATTATCCTAACCTAACCCATGCTGATTTCCTACTCCTTTTGTCTTTTGACTGTTTAGTGCATAGTAATTCAGTAAAGCCTTTGTTTAACCACTTCGTTATTCGTCGAACCATTCCCATTCTCCCTAAAGCAATCCCTCATTCACTATGGTAAAAAAGAAGTGCCGCTTCTGATCACGGAGATGTGAAATGCCAAACGACAGATGTGGAGATCCCACCACCCAACTTGAATCACCGCACCTAGCATTAAGTAAAGGAACTTGAAAATATCCTTAGCTACTTGTGATTTATTAACTCTAACCCACGGTGAATTGCTACTTGTTTTGTATTTTGATGGTTTAGTATGTAGTAATTCATCAAAGCCTTTGTTGAACCACTTGGCTCTTCATTGAACCATCACTATTCTCCTTAAAGCTGCCCCTCATTCACCCATTTCTGAATTGCCAATGACCTTCGAGTTTCTTGAAAAGACTACAGCAGTTACTTCATTGTATATCCTTCCTGTGAGCGTCACAAAGAGTTTAGTGATGGGCCTTGTCATACGCCTGCAATATGGATGGCTTTATATTAAGCAATTCCACTTTTCATAGACGAATGGCGAGAGAGTCATTAGCTGACGGCACAATACCTACATTGATGGTTGTCACAAATTTTGTGGATATGGTGGGGAATATCTGCAATTAGGAAGACCAAGTAGAAGTCCACAACAAACTAAACGATCATGGAGTTGCCACGGTCACTTTTAATGCCCCAACGAGGGCGCTTATCCTTTCGTCGTGTCATTACTCACATCGATGATGACATGTGTGCCGTCCAACTTGGTTGAATAAATTTATGCAAGAAACTATAGTGTCACAAATGACACCACCACTACCACCCACCGTTATTCACGAATCATTTTGCCAAACATGCATAACAGGCAACCTGTTAAACGCTTTCCGATTAGCAACTAAGTGCCACTTAATACCAAATTTTCCCCAGTGGATCTGATTCATTGCTTTAGGATCGGTGAAGAGCAGACTTGGTAATAACTCCTTAAAAACCATAGCTTCAGGTGTAAATGCAAGTAAACGAAGTGGTGACTCGCGTCCAGCTTGAAGTACGGCTATTGGCTGGTAGGAGGCTTTGCTATTTGCTTCTCCTCTGCCCTTTCGCATGCATGACAATCCATTTCCATTTATTCAACCCTGCAAATCACGGTGTCACTAAATGTGGAAATGCAATTACTCAGATGCAAAAATTGTGGACATGTTCTTACTTGTATGATGCAGGATGGCATGAGGGTCTGAACACAGCCATTGTTGCTTTCGCCATCTTGCAATTAAAAGCACACAATCGGTTCCACTTGATGAGAGACACAAAGGGAGCGAAAGTCGTAGTCGGGTAGCCAAACAATGCACATAGGGGAGTGGGACATCAGAAGCAGTCAAGCAACGCACAAGCATAGCAAAGCAGCCCAAAACGTCAGTCCACGCTGATCACTGTGCTCGACCATCTACTGTGCATTCTTTCCGACCCACTACCCACGCAATCGTGCGCAATTTAGACGGACTTGGGCGACTCACCAAATTCAGCCTCAACTACTGCTTTCCTCCCTCCCTCCCTTCCCGTCGCTTTCACCTGTGTGGCAGAATTTGCATTCACTGCAGCTAGATTCTTCCAATTTATGGAGTTTCCAGAACAAAAGTTTCGGCTATTGAAATGGGTCCCATTGTGTTTAGCAATCAAATGCGGATGTAATAGAATGTTGGACAAAAGCTACAATCATAAGACTATTTGGGATTTCTGGATGCTTGAATGTGCATGTGCTAGAATAGGGAAATACATGAGTGGTCTGTGAAATAAGTTGCCTACCGAACCCCTGGGGGAATTTGGCAGACGCCACGACCAAGTCGTCATTCCTCATTTCTCATTCCACAGTATGCTAGTCAACACTTAGTCAAGCTGGCCAATTCGACATCGCACTAACCTCGTCTATTTTCCTTAACTTTCTCCACCTCTACTGAAGAGGATCTAGTGAAATGTTCTTTCATTTATATAGCTGCACTAAATGTGCAGAAAACTGTTAAGAAGTTAGTTTTGTGGTACGACACGGGAACGCGCAACCGCTTCCCTTAGGCACATGAACGTGTCTCTTATGAGTGAGGTAAAGCTTAATAGAATTCCTGTCTTATGCTGGAAACACTGACATCAATCAAACTGTTCAGTCAATCAACGCAAGACTCGTCTGGCACCCACTCCTATCTATGTGTGCCGGTGGTGCCTTCTAAAACAAATTGCGATAGTTGCTGTGTAAAAATGCATTCCATTTCTGCAAGCCTTCTCTTCACACTTTCTTTGCCTGTATGGCTATAACTCTTAACATTATGACCTGAGCTGTGCCAACAGCATAATGTGTGGTGGCAAGTAGTCAAAGTGAAATAATCTCACCAGCATTTGCTGAGGCAAGACCTTATCTAAACACATGCACTTCTCCTGGGGCCTTTGTCACTCACGGTAGTATCATTTTTACTTGTTCTGTGAATTTTTTAGTAGACCAAGTAAGTTGCCGCAGTCTGGCCTTTTAATTGAAGCTGCAATCCGTGTTGCAGTCCTTATCTGGCATGCATTGAAGGTGGATAATAAAATAATTACACACTGGATTCCGTTTTCCATCCTGTTGTATCTTGCTGTATAACAGGCTCATGACCGGTGTCAGGGCGGGCAGTCTACTTGATCATTTGGTATGCTCATGGAATATACCAAGCAGAATGGCAAACTGGGGCTCACTTTGCTTTTCTTTGTCTTCAGAACAAATGTTTATTCGCCTTACTTACACCTAGCAACCCTGTATGTGATTGGCTCAGCTCAGAGCACAATGCAAAGCGCCATAATCAACCAGATGGAGGTAAAGGCTTGAGGTGATAGAATGCACAAGTAACATAGTAGAGCACCGAGAGGGTCTTACTTATAATCCACATAGCATTGCAGTGTTTTTTACCGGAATAAGTACAACAGCAATTGGGTAAGCAAAGGCCCAACTGAACGTGGCATGGTGACCACTTTGGTAG